AATTTTTTTAATTAAAAAAAAAAAAGCAATCTATTCATCTTAATTTCTTCCAGCTGTGAGATTAGATATTGTTACCAAGCTACTCCCTGATTTGTCAATGGAGTTCTACAGGTCCTGGAGGCGGTTAAGGGGTTGAAGTTTTTAGTTCATAAGACAGTAAGACAGTACCGAAAGGGGTCATGCGTCTCCACCAAATTCTAAGCAAAACATCATGTCTTGAAACATTTGAACAATAATTTGTGACAAGTGTGATTCAACTGTAATTCCATTTTCCTAGGAGTGGAAAGTTGAGCTGCGTGAAATCTGTGACCGGTTGACTTTAATCTTTAGTTTCCCAGCCTGATATTTTGGACCAGGCCCGTCTTGGTGTCCATCAAGCTTTAACATGTTTTTTGCCAAGCCTGAAAGCAAGGCAGACTGGCTTGAAAGATGGATTTTCTCCTATTTGATCTTGCCTTCATTTGATGTACTCATGAAAAAACCATAAAGGTAGATGCAAATTAAAACAAGGTCAAGAACAAGCATCCTGCTGAGCCTAAGGCATAGATGAATGCTAGAATATGTCTTGATCAATGCAGTTGAATCCCCCACAAGGATTAAATTTGTCAGTCTGCCTGTATTTCTTATCATACACTGTGAGTCATTGATGCTTGAATTTCTTCTAGTGTTCGTCCCTTGGTCTCCTGCACTAGCTTTGCAATGAATATTATGGCTAGCCCAGAAATGCTTGAAAATATGAAGAATGTTCCAGGAATAGTGTAATGATAAATGGTTTAGTGTGATAACCCCAGTGGAAGTAATGACACAGAGAGAAGAATCAGGGAAAGAGTGGCATTAGGCATAACCAGCAGAGCTCCATTGGAGTAAGAAGTTGAAAGTGTAAGAAACAACCAAAGAACAAAACCAGTTCACCAGGTTGCAAAGGCTTCCAGCTGAGCCTTTATATTTACAGGATATATCTGGGAAAAGAAAAGACCATCTATTAGCTATACATTAAATGAATGAAGAAATCAAGACAGAAGTTGTTGACTAGCCTCTGACATTATAATCCATGGAATTCCTGACATGCCAAAGGAATAAAATCCTATTACATCTGATTGCAGAATTATACAAATAAAGCTTATGTATCTGATAATAGACTTCAGCTAAAAATGTGACAAAGGAATCAATATGGTTGATGGAAGTCATGGGATATTTTTGATGTGATTAGAATTTTATTGATCTACAATACATGTGAGAACCTGCACCAGTGTGCTCCTGACATAAGTTTGGACTATTATCAGAAAAGGAGACACAAGATAATTTTTCATTTGAATTTTTCACAACAAATATTGGAAATGACCTCATACGAAATCTACCATTGTTCACGGCATCTGAAATAATTTAAAGACCATGTAACAATTAGCACTAGGCATAAAAGGGCCACTCTTTCTATTTTCTGCAAATGGGAATTGCAAACCACCACAACCTGGTAACAACACCAAAACAAATGACAAAACTTAATTATGGTTACTTGAATTCTTTGCAGCATACAAAAATTTTTAGAATAGAATTTAACAAACAAAGGTTGACGGATATCAGGTCATTTCATGCTGACATTTTGATCATCTTCGCAGTTTCTACGAAGCAGCTCAAAAATAGATTGATCTCCTCCGTCTCTACATAATAGATCCAGTAGCATTGTCGCTGTTGAAGAATCTGCAGAAAATCCTTTATCAACCATCTCATGTAAAATTTGCATTGCCCTTGACACATCGTTGTTTTGAAAAAATCCTTTGATCATTACATTGTAAGAACAACTATTTTGCAAGCAGCCATTCAGTTCCATTTTCTTAAATAATTCATATGCTTCATTTGGTAACCCTTCTTTACAAAGTCCTTTGATCATGATACTACAAGAGTAAACATCAGGGCGTAACCCTTTGACTGGCAGTGCACAAAACAATTGCCTTGCAACATTAGGTTGCCCAACTTGAAATAAGCCATCAATTAAGATATTATAGTGGACTAAGTAAGGTTCTATCCCATTTTTCTGGATAACATGAAAAATGTCGAATGCCTCATCAACATGACCGTGCTTGCATAAGCCATGTAACAAAGTAGAGTAAGTGATTGCATCTGGAACTAGGCCACAAACACTCATTTCTTCAAAATGTTGTCGTGCAGCTGAAAGTCTCCCTAGTTGGCACATGCCATTTATAAGAGCATTGTACGTAACAGTGTCATGGACTAATCCATTTTGAGACATTTCCTGAAAGAGAGCCATGGCCTCATCTATATTTTGAACTTTACAACATCCATTGATCAAGATGTTGTAACCATAAACATCAGGTACACAACCCTTAGTAATCATCAAATTAAAAACTTTTCTAGCCTCATCCATTTTGCCTTGCAAGCAATATCCATCCATCAATGTATTATATGTAATAGTATCAGGGTCAACAGCTTGTTGAATCATTCCTTCAACAATGTCATGAGCCTCTGAAACCCTCCCTTCTTTACAAAATGCATCAACCAATATAGTATAAGAGACAATATCTAATTTGCAATTGCTAGCAACCATTTCAGTCAATAAGCTTTTAGCTTCCTTCCACTGACCTGAATTACACATAGCATGAATTAAGGAACTATAAGTCACAACATTTGGCAGAATGCCTTTACCTTTCATCTCAGCGAAAAGGTTTAAAGCCTCAGATACAAGCTTGTCCTTACAAAGACTATCAATGATCGTGCTGTATATCACAATGCCAATTAGGAAGCTATTTTTTTCCATCTTCCTTAGCAATCTAATAGCCGCACTAGTGTATCCTGCTTTACAAAGACCATTTACTATCGTACCATAAGTAATCAAATTAGTTTGGTAACCATTCCTGACAATCTCATCAAAGAACACCACTGCTTCAGCTATTTTACCTTCAATACACAACCCATTGGCGAGGGTGGTAAATGTAACGGTAGTTGGTTGAATTCCCAGCTTCAACATTTTTCCCAGAAGCGAAAACCCAAAATCCGTTCGATGCAAGCGACAAAAACAATTAAGCAAGATGCTGAAACTATAAACATTATGTCTGATTCCAATTAATTCCATTTGTCCAAACAGAGAAATAGCAGTTTCATAATGCTTCATTCTAGCAATGGCACTAACTAATGGGGTAAATTCAGAAATAGAAGGGCGGGGACGGGTGCGAAGCATGTGATTGAACAAATCCAAGGCATCATCAATCCTGTGAAACACATACCTGGATTTCTTGAAACAGGAGGAAGAGGTAGAGAAAAAAGGGGATTGGAAAGAAGAAAAGCAAAGAGGAGAGAAACTGGAAAGGAGAAGAAAGGAAGAGAAGAGATAGAATGGGAGTTACCAAGTAGAAGGAGACGCAACTGCAAAGCAGAACAAGGAGAAGAAGTGCATTTCCAGGTCCTCATCATCATCTGCTCTTCGCTAGACAATAATGGCTAAGGGTGGGTGGTCATCAGTTGCCTTCAGCTTTCGGACCACTAGCCTTTCCTTTTCCCTTTTAATGCGTTGGTTTTTAATTTTTTGGTCCTATTTTTATTTTATTATATTTTTAATGTTTCTAATTTAAGATTCCTTCCTCAAAGATCTATATATTTATTTATTTTTCTCAAAATAATAAAAAAAAAGAAATTGCTAACTTGTTTTTTCAAAACTTCAATAATGAAATTTGTTCCCAACTTTAATATTTTTTATTTTTATAAATAAAAATTATACCATCATAAATTATATTTGTAATACAAAAAATTAAAAAAATAAAATTTAATGTCAAAATATAAAAAATAAAAATAAAGATATGATACATTGAAAGAATAAGAACTATAAATCTATATTTTATATATATATATATATATATAAAAGGAAATTCAAAAGAATTTCTACTCTTAACATACATATTTACTTTTAGTATTTTATGAAAGAAAGGAATATATAAGTTGTGAGATTATAATCCCAAAATCTAGTCATCTTAATTTCTTACAGCTGTGAGATTATGAATTCAAAGTTGTGAGATTAGATATTGTTTGCCAAGCTACTTTCTGATTTGTCAATGGAGTTCTCTAGGTCCTGGTGGTGGTTAGGTGGTTGGATTTTTTAATTCATAAGACAGTAAAATAGTACCAAAAGAATTCATGCCTTTCCACCAAATTTTAAGGAAGTTTGTTGGATATTTTTAAATAAATACGAGACACAATCTTATATTGGAATTCAAAAAAATTATTTTTATTGGAATTAAAAAAAATTATGTCTGTTGGATATAAAAAAATAAAAGAGGAATTATTTATGTTGGAAAGAAACTTGAAATAAGATCCGTTGAAAATAGATACTTAAACTTATTGAAACCACTATTTTTTAAATAATAAAACATACAATAGAATAACTATTTTTTCTTTTTTTTTTATATTGTTCAAGTTTTCTTTTATACCATTTTACTGTAAAAAAATCTTATGAAAATTTAATAATCTTGTTATAGTTTAGTGAATTAATTTCATCAATGTAAAACGCCGTCAATTATTGAATTTCATTCTATCTTCAGATTTGTATGTCAATAACTTTTTTATACACTATAAATGAAGTGAATAAAACAACAATCTTTCCTTTTTGTCTATATCCTTCAAAGTTTTCTTCTATACTGTTTCATTGCAAAAAAACTTTATGAAAATTTAATAATTTTATCGTATTCCGATGAATGCTCAATGAATTGATTTCGTCAATGTAAAAAACCATCAATTACTAAACTTCATTGTTTTTTCGAATTTATATGTCAATAACTCTTTAGAATACTACTTGTAAAACGAATAAAACCTTAAAGAAAGTAACATTGTTACACACAGTTATTTGTGACAAAGTGAGATTTCAACTGTAATTTCCTTTTCGTAGAAGTGGTAAGTTAAGCTGCGTGAAAGTTGTGAGTGGTTGACTTAATCTTTAGTTTTTCCCGGTCTGAGTTTCTGGTCCAGGCCTGTCCTGCTGTCCATGAAGCATTAACATGTTTTTTGCCAAGCCTGAAAACTTGGCAGATGGCTTGAAAGATGAAGTTGGATCTTACTTCATGATCTTAACTTCATTTGATGTACTCATGGGAAAAACCTTAAAGGCCAATGCAAAATAAAACAAGGTCAACAGCAAGCATCCTGCTGAGCCTAAAGCATATATCAATGCTGGAATATGTTTTGATCTATGCAGTTGAATTCCCCACCATGATTGTATTTGCCAGTATGCCTGTATTTCTTATCGTGCACCGCCAGTCATTGATGCTTGAATTTCTTCCAGTGTTCGTCCCTTGGTCTCTGGCACCAGCTTTACAATGAATATGATGGCTAGCCCAGAAATGCTTGAAAATATGAAGAATGTTCCTGGAATAGTGTAATGATAAGTAGTTTAGTATGATAACACCAGTGGAAGGAGCGACAGAGAGAAGAATGAGGGAAAGAGAGGCATTAGGGATCACCAGCAGAGCTCCATTGGAGTAAGAAGTTGAATGTATAAGAAACAACCCAAGAACAAAACCAGTTCACCATGTTGCAAAGGCTTCCAGCTGAGCCCTTTATATTAACAGGAAATATCTGTGGAAAAAAAAAACAAACCATTTGTTTCTATTAGCTATGCACTAAATGAATGAAGAAATCAAGAAAGAAGTTGTCGACTAACCTCAGACATTATAATCCATGGAATTCCTGACTAAATGAATGAAGAAATCAAGAAAGAAGTTGCCGACTAACCTCAGACATTATAATCCATGGAATTCCTGACATGCCTAATGAATAAAATGCCATGTACATCTGAATGCAGAAATATACAAATAAAGCTTATATATCAGATAATAAACCTCAGCTCAAAATGTGACAAATAAATAAATAAGGAAGTCATGGGCAATTTGGATTTGAACTTTATTGATCTACGGTACATGAAAGAACCCGAACCACTATGATCCTGATGTAAATTCTGCACTACTATCAGAAAAGGAGACACAAGATAGTTTTTGATTGAATTTTTCACAACAATTTTCATGCTAGAGTTAAAAGCATCTGATTTGTTTCTCAATTGTTAAATAAGAAGAAAATGGACGAAAATGCTCGATACAGATGTAATCAACAGTAAAATATTTTTGAGGAAAAGAACACAGAGAGTGTTAGTGTAATTTGAATTACCAGGATGCCAATAAGTGCTATAAATGGAGTGATTTTCTCCAACCAATGAAGATCCTGCTCATGACATTTCATATCTTTCAGGAAATAGAAGATAAAAGGAAATTAAGATGTGGAAAAGAAAATTTTTAGATGGTGTAGTTAAAATTTTATGTTTTGTTTTTGAGAAACCTGCAAGAGGAATGACACTCCTGTAAGGAAGCACCCAAAGAATGTTCCAACAGCAGAAACCTGCAAAAATATTTGGATTTCAGTACTAGTTTCTCAATTTAGTTGAGATAAAGGTCATTTGATTATTCTATGTTCTAACCATTAGAAGAGGTCGTCTCCCAGATGAATCAATTAAAAGTATACCGAGAATGTTCATGACAATCTGCATAAGGATATGTACAGTATCAGAGAAGCACCCCATGATGAATTCTGAATTAATATTACCATTCAAATAGATTGACACCTGAGTTACAGCTACTGCTATAATTCCTATAGTGCTTGGAAACCCTGTCAAACAAATTGTCAGTCCCTCCACAGCCATAGTTTTTAAGTTATTTGGAGCATTTTTTTACTATAATTTACCGGCTAAATCAAAAATGCTGTTAGCATAATATGCAAATCCTTTGTATCCTCCAAGTTGTTGTAGTAGCATCAAGCCAACTCCTACCTGTGGCGAAAATCTCGTTATATCTTTGGATCAAGCATGTCATTTACAGACAAGAGAGGAACTATGAATCAATTAATGTAACTCACGATGACTGAATGAGTATATTTTGAACTGAACACATCCAGAATTTTATCTTCAGAGCTGTGTTGCAAGTTTTGGGTATAATCCTGCAAGATTTTAGAACAGATCAAAATTGCGCTATTAGTTGGAGGTCAAAAAAGTTCAGGCTTCCAGATTTAGTCCAAGGAATGACTACTCTTTAAAGGATATTATATTCAAAATTTACTTGGATTTCTGCCGCTTCTTGAGAAATATCAGCACTCATTCCTCTGAGGCACTGCAGAGAAGTTTTGAACTCATTGTCTCGACCATTCTTAGCCTGCAGGCATGTATATCCATAATTGAGTACTTTGGTGTATTCTGTTGGCATTTCTATTTTGTTAAGCCGACACCAACTGTTTTAACCGTGTAATGTTTCTATGACCGAAAAAAGAGCCAGGCCATATGATTATGCGGCAATCAAAATAGACAGAATTCAAAGGATTCTGACTAAGGTGAGATTTCACGACAGAAAAAAATAAAGCAAACACAATTCTGATAGAACTCATGGAACTGAAGATTCTACTCACCAGCCATCTAGGAGATTCCGGAACAAAGAACAAACATAGGACCTGTATTAGACAAGGAATGACACCTGCAAAATTGCAATGGTCGGAAAATCATTAATGCATTCCTTGTGTGTTGTAAAACTACAATGCAGCAAAGCAGCATGGAGAGAAAAGACTGAAAGATGCTACCTATCAGAGCCAAGATGCGCCAATAGGTGATAGAACCAACAAAATATGCGACTGAAATGCTACAAATTGTCATTGCCTGTAGATTAAGCAAAAATGGAAACTAAATCATAGACCCTTTTAGTCCAGAATTTACAAAAGTCAAATACCTACAATGCTCAAATTTACCTGAACTAGTGATGAAAATCCTCCCCTAAGATTCTTAGGAGTTATGTCTGCTACATAAACAGGTCCCTACTTGGCATTAAATAAGACATCGTTATCAATCACATGGTGAACTGCATTCAGTAGATAGATGAAGTCTTACAGCAATTACCACATAATTAAATACTGCAGTTCCAAATCCCAGTGAAAGCCTTCCAAGATACAGTGACCAAGCTTTCTGTCAAAAATCATTGCAACTTTCAGGATTATGATATGAGAACAAGCCAATGATGTTATAACTAATAAAAAGAAAGCCTTGTAGAAAATGGAGTAAGAGGAAAGCTGAGGATACAAGACCTTGGAAAACGCTATAGCTAGCCATCCCATGATGTAGAATATATTCAATATCCAGAAGGTCTGCCTCATGAAAGCAACCAAAAATCATTAGCTGAGAACTTGATAAAGCTTTAATGATGTAGAATAGATGCTCATGTATGCAAAAAACTCACAATTTTGTGACCAAAGAAATCTGATATTCTTCCACTAGCTATTGCACCTGCCATTCCTCCTATTGTCAATATTGAACCAAAAACTGAGTACTGCACAAATTATGGGGAAAAAAGAGGGAAAGTGAGGGTCAGTTAAACAAAAAAAACTCAGAAAAACTAGCTTTAAGCACGTCCCAAAACAGTGCAGGGCATTCTTCTTTGACCATATAAAGGCACTTTTTAAAATATCATCTATGATTCCCCAATGATCCCCACGAAAATGTGGTGAGCTACACAACAACCGTTTGGGGGGAGGGAAAAACTCTGCAAGTTGAAACTCCTTTCTGACATTAACATCAAGTTAATTATGTCTTAATGTTTTTAAGCCTGGCACCTACCTCTGCCACAGAGAGACCTAGTTCATCTATGATTCCAGACTCCGCAGGTGATGAATAGCCACCCTGGAAAGCAATCATGTAAAATAAGTATAATCATGAGCATGATCATTAATGCCTCAAAGATAGAGAGAAAACAATCATGGATGTTGACTCTAGGATCCAACTATTCAACCAAACTAAAGTCTGGTTTCGCTCTTGCTTTCCTCAGTCTGTTCTAACAAGAAAATGTGACTGGGAAATCTTATCCTCTTGTGGCCGAGTGATTATTGCAGTAAAAATAAACGGTCATAATCACATAAGCAATTGGTTCCAAGATGCAACAACTAGAACAACACAGTAATCCTAACCATACAGCTGATAATATGCTAGGAATTAGTAAAAGAATAGGAGAATTTGAAGGTGTCACTAAGTACAAATTTATTCATGTTTGTCCTGGAAAGATCTGAAAAGAAAAATTGTTTTACATTGTCTGCATAAAGTACAATCTAGAGTTCAAATCTATCAGACGAAGTGATCAAACTGCTATAGTCAAGGCAAGGAATTAAAAAGTAGGAAAAGATCAATGCATCTAGTTTGGGCCAAAGCTATGGTCCTAGCAAAAGCAGAACCCAAGATACATAAACAGAAGAAGATTCCCGATGTTACAAGGCAAAAACATATGCAGATCGAGAAGAGAGAGAGAGAGAGAGAGAGAGATGAATCATGTTTGGATCACTCCATTGGATACTCACAGAGTACCCACAATTACTAGAAGCACAGGCTGCGACAGTGATCCCCAGAACAAGAGATATTGTTATAGCACTGGACTTTCTTGATGGTACACCATCACCATTGCAGCTACTGACAATCAAAGGTTCAGTTGCTGATCCCCCCTCTATGCCTTCTCCCTCCATATCTTTTGTCCCCCTGGAAAGCAGAACGAAGAAAAAGGGTAAAAAAGTTGAGACAGAAATCTAGACAGCAAAAGACAATGACTTTATGGTAATTCTTTAATAAAAAACGTGTTGTTTTCTCATGCAGAAATTAATGTAGTTGTTTATTGAATGGTCATCCACGTAGCAGGTTCTCTGCCGCTACCATTTTCTGTCCTTTTTTTTTCCAAAATAATTGCACTGTATGATTTTGCCAGTTCCAACGTGATAACCCATCAGCAATTTTCAATCTTGATGGCCCCTCGCACCCTGTAATGCTCATATCTTAGAAGCCAAAGCTCATATCTAGAGTTCATCTTGGGTCTCTCTTCACTGATTTGTATGGATTTTGCATGATCCTGTTTCAGATTTCCTGGTGAAATCAAATTTTTCAGTAACAAATCAACCTCCTTAATGATCTAATGGCCTGTGTCTAGTCTGATTCAGTCCATTCTTTACTTAAACAATGAATTACTAACAGTAAAAGAATTTTCCATCACTAATAACCTGAACATCCACTGTTCTTAATTGTTCATATAAGAGGATCAAGTACTAATGTTCCTTGTATTTGCTGATGGGAACATGCCTTCAAAGGAAAGCAAAGGGGCGTGGCCCATGAGCCTTCCGTTTTTGTATATCTACCATTAAATCTTATCCACTTGTCTTATCAGCATTCCTTTTCTGTTCCAGATCATTGCATGGCCCCTTGAGACTAAAATGATAACTAAGATACTTGGTAACCAAAGCCAACCATTTTTACCTGCTACTTCCTCTTGCCAGCTACTGTTTCAGATTTTTAGAGGTTGGGATCAATCAACAATCCCACATTTAATAACAAACCTGATGAACACTCCAACACATTGATGTATTAATTGGAAATATAAAAACATTCACGATTAGATAATGAAAGCAGATTCAGACTTCCTTCTTTTCCTACTTGAATAAAACAAAACTTGAAACGTGGTCACCTTTAGACCATTAGTATAAAGTGGACTGTCAATTAATTAATACATGATGGGCCCAGTGTACCAAAATCTGGGGTCATGCATGAGATATGGGAACATCTATACTTTTCAGTTACCTACACTTCCATGACATTTGATAAGAAAGGCTTTCAGTAAAGAATTGGAATGCATAAGGAAAATATTATTTTATAATAATTTTTATAAAATTTAGAGTGTAAATAGATGAAAAGTAAAATATAAAAAAAATGATAAGCTTGAACAAAAAATTGATAATAATAAAATAATTACAAAACACCCTTCCTTAGGGTGATAAGTAAAGCAATTTATTCAAAGCGCCAGTATTCATATACATTGTGACACACTTATTCATATACTAGTAACTGATGCTTGTATTTCTTCAAGTGTTCTTCCCTTAGTCTCCGGTACCATTTTCGCGGCAAATATGGCATTCAGACCACAAATAGCTGAAAATATGAAGAATGTGCCTAGAACATATTGCAGTTGGAGAAGTCATTTCTGAGATCAAAAGCTAAAGAATGTTACCATTGACAAAGTTGTTTTGGGGGGGGGAGACTGAACTTACCTGCTGAGCTCCATTGAAATAAGAAGTTAAAGTTGTATGAAACAATCCAAGAACACACATGCCCAATTAAACTGGAAATGCTTCCAGCTGCACCTTTTATGTTTATGGGAAATATCTGAAATCGAAGTCTTTCACTGTTGAATTGTGCAGTAAAACATATTTACGTTGGACTGTGGGTGAACTTCTGAAACAGGTGATAGGAAACTAACCTCTGCCACTATAATCCACAGAATTCCTTCCATTCCTACTTGGTATGACCCCATATAAAGCTGAAAGCAGAATCAAATAGTTAAGTATTTATCTCTTAATCTCTTGCATATGAAGCTTACGTATAAGTACAGACTAAGTAATTAAACCAGAGAGGACAAAAAGGGCAGTAGTTTACCGGTTTTTATTTATCTCCAAATTTGCAATGCCAAAAGTATACAACTTACCCATATGCTAATGAGTGCCAAAATAGGAGTTCCGTCACCCCACCAGTTATAGTCCTGCTTGTGGTAACTGAAGTTTCAGTACATTGTTACATGCACAAAGGACACTGAAAGGATAAAACAATATAGGTTTTTTTTTTATTATTTCTATAAAGAAACCTGTAAAAGGAATGATATTCCAGTGAGGAAGCTGCCAAAGCATAATCCACATGAAGAAACCTGTAACATAATACATATCAGCCAACTGTTTAGCCAGAAACACTTTCCAAATCTAGAAGTTCTCAGTTTTCTGACCAGTAGAAGTGATCGTCTTCCAAACTTATCGATCAAGCTGGTACCAAGAAGGCTCATTAATATCTGTAGACATGTATGAATATACGAATCTTCAGTCTCTGAGATGTGCACTTCACATCAAAAGTTAACTTAAAACAGCACAGCACCTCGACAACAGCCAATGTACTAAGCCCGATATATTTTGACAAGCCTATCAGAAAAAGGAATTACAGTGAGTTAAATGCTGAAATTTTTTTCATTCTAATGTGATACAGACATTTGTAGGGTACATAATTTACCTGCTGAGACAAAAATAACACCAGAGTAATATGCATATGCATTGGCCCCTCCTGAGTGTTGCAGTGCCATCAGCCCTATTCCAATCTATGTGCAGTGTGAGGAGAATCATGAATCAAAGAAGACTTACAAAGAGAAATTAGAAAATTTGAAACTGCTTTACAAGGCTTACAATTAGGGGATGAGCATATTTTCGCTGAAACAAATCTAAAATTCCTCCCCATGAGAAACTTTTCAGGGATTCCGTATAATCCTGAAAAAGCCATTCTTATTTATTTTCTCCAAGCAACATGTTATCTATTTTCTTTAAGAAAAAGCTATGCTATGAAGAAATAAGTTAAGTGTTACTTTGATAGCGGTTGCTTCTGCAAAAATATTGACTTTCTCTCCCCTGAGGGACAGCAGAGCTTTTTCAAACTCCTTTTCTCGGCCAACTTTTGCCTACAGAGAATTACTTGGCGGTGAGGGGTCAGAGTTAAGAGAGCAAAACTAAATTCTTGTTGCATTGTTTTGCAAAACAGTATCAAGTGCCAGTATCTAAAATAATGTTTAATTAAGACATTTTTGAAAATGTTTCTGGCTTAATGCCTAACAAGTAACAAGACCAGGCAATCAAAAGTTGAATTCGTTTAGTTTTTGGTAAAGCACTTCATCTCAAATGAAACTGCAAACAGAACCTTAAAATCTGACGCACCAGCCATCTAGGAGACTCTGGAATGAAGAATAGAAGTGGGAGTTGTAGTAGACTTGGAATAATACCTATATGTAAAACCATTCCAAACTTAAGCAAACTTCAGATTGCAATACTAATACAGTTTACATGGAAAAGTATCAGAAGTTACCTATCAGAGCCAAGATACGCCAATTGATAAAAGGACCGATAATATACATCATGGAAAGGCCTATTACACCCATCGTCTGTAGAATCAGCTGCAGTAAGAACATGATGCAGCAAGTAATTGGCGACCTGAATTTAATTGAGTGTAAGGTTTACCTGTACTAGACCTGAAAATCGTCCCCTAAGATTCTTGGGTGTTATCTCTGCAACATATACAGGTACCTGTTTGAGATCGAAATATGAATACCATAATTGATTGACATATGATTAATAGTATCAAATTCGAAATGAAATCTTTGCAAGAGTTACCAAATAACCAGCAATTCCATTTCTGAATCCCAGTAATAGTCTTCCTAGATCAAGCAACCATGGAACCTTTCCAACACATGAAAATCCACCATTATTAGGTCATGGAAAACCACAGGCACTAATTCAGTTAAGACTCCAGGATGTAATCTTCTCGGCAAAGGAACAGAGTGCATGACATAAAGTAAAAGTTGGCAGAGAATGGAAGCCAGAAGAGCTGAAACCTTTGCGAATGCTATCGCGAACCATCCCACAACGTAAAATAAGTTCAAAACCCACATAGTCTGTTTCAAGACATTGAGGAAATTAGACATGATTTTGCAACTAAAACTCAACAAATGGCTTAGAGGTGTTCGGTAAGCTCAGTAGTAATGTAGAATTTAGAAGCTTACACATTTACGACCAAGGAGATCTGTTGCCCTCCCACTTACTAATGCACCTAGAATTGATCCAATATTTAACATTGAACCAAAAAGTGAAAACTGCATAGCAAGAGAGTAGTTAAAACTTCAAAATAGTTTTTCTCTTTACTCCTAAATAGGTAACAAAAAAGAATGATCCGCAACCAAATATACTTACCTCTGCAACAGAGAGATCCAAGTCCTCCATGATTGCAGACTGAGTAGGTGATGAATATCCCATCTGTGAAAGAACTCATGAGAAAAGAAAGGGTAAACAAAAGGCACAAGCAATGATTTTTATAGAGTCAGATGCTAATTAGATAATCTAGCTATTTCAACATGAAAATTGGGTCAAATTCGTAGAATAGATTGTCAACCACATGGAAAATGCACATTGAGATGCATGGAAGCTGGAAAATAGGTTTGAGAAGTAAATTTTGCTTGCCATAGAATATGGTGATTAATCTACTTACAACACATCCAAAACCAAAGGAAATGCAAGCTGCAACAAAGGTGCTAAGAACAAGAGTAGTAGTGACACTTGAACCAGTCTGCAGCTGACCACCACCATGTCCTCGTCTAACAAGCAAAGATTGTGTCACTGTTGCCCCTTCTTCCTCCATCTATTCCTGTCTGTGAAGAAAAAGAATGGGAATGATCAAGAACTCACATTAAATTTGGGTTGCTTTGTATCCCTTTTGGCTAACCAACCACAAATGTCACGAAAGCAAAAAGTTAAAAAGGAGAGAAAACAGGAATATTTTTGGGTCTATAAAGCACTATCACTACTTGCTTCCTGAAGTGAAGAAGCAGAGGAAATAAGCATGCACTTTGTTTATGACCCCACACGTGACCCAAGAAGATAATACTGGTGATGGCACGCATTCGTACAGTATTTGTCGTCTAGTTATTCAGTCACTGATGTATCAATATGGGACCAGGGCTGAGCCCAAGTCATCCCAGTGACTGGAATTTAACCAAGGAAAAGACACTATGCTTCATGATCATTGGGGTCCAGGGTCAGGCAATTGCTGATGGAAAGATTCTTGAAGTTCAAAGATAAAAAGGGCTGTTATTGTGTATTTGATGAATTTGTAATGTTTACTCAGAAAATAGCGGTATAAATCCTTGTTAAAAAGTTCTTCCCCTCCCTCGTCCCTTCTTTTCTCTTCAAAAATTTATTTATTAGTTTCTTTGACTTAAGCCTCCAGGATCTCTTCTGTGCCATAAAGAAGCCAATCTCCATTGATTATTGTACTTTGGCTTAGAACAAGCTTAAGGGGAAAAAAACAAGAGATGATACAGTACAGTATCCTTTTAATCATGGAGACAAAATCCTATTGGAAAAAATATCTGGACACGGGCATGGAGATGGTGTGACAGATTGCACAGTAGTCTTCAATGCCACCTGCTCTGATCAGATATTTCTTTCATTTAATTGCATTTTCAACTTTTCAGATTTTGGATTCCTACCCCATTGTGTCCTGTGGCTGAAAATTGAATAATCGTCTACAAAGTTATGATCCACAAAAGGGATGGTGCCGTAAGTTTTCTGACAGACTATTAGAATATACATTATATGGAATAACTTGCAAGAATATCCTTCATTGTGAAGAATGAGTAATTGATGCTTGTATTTCTTCTAGTGTTCGACCTTTAGTCTCCGGCACCATTGTTGCTGCTAGGATGAAATTTGCACAGCAAAAGGCTGAAAATATAAAGAATGTCCCTGAAAGAATGCCCAAAAACAGTCATTTTCTAAGGTTAAAAAGCTTGAGAAATATAAGGTAATCAGTGAATAAAGAAGGCACCCATGCACCTGCTGAGCTCCATTTAGTTAGTAAGTTAAAGTAGTATGCAACAGCCCAACCAGTAATCCCACTGATGAAATTACAGATGCTTCCAGCTGAACCTTTTACATTTACTGGAAATAGCTGTGACAGAACCCGAGATGGTTGAATATGCATAATGAGTTCCTTCTGTAAACTCTTGATGAATATTGCAGAAAAAGAGATGAATGAATGAGTAAATAAAGGAGTAAACAGTTTGCAGACCTCTGCTACTAAAAGCCATGGTATCCCTGAGGCTACTACGTATGATCCCGTGTACATCTGAAAGCGTAATCAAACATTTAGATTGTAAAAAGAGAAAAAAAAAAGATAGAAAAGTAAAATGACAGGGAACAAATCTGCATTACCAATAAGCCAATGAGTGCCAAAATAGGAGTACCTTCACCCCACCAATTATATTCCTGCTAATTGGCCATTGTAACTGTGATGTCAGGACATGGTGAAATGCACAAAAAACATCGAAGGGGTACTAATTAAGGTACCATTTTTCTAACCTTTAACAAGAATGATAATCCTGTGAGGAAGCTACTGAAGCACAATCCAGCTGAAGCAACCTGCAAACAGATTCCACAATCATCATTTTGTTCAGCCAAGCAATTGACTTACAGACCATTGGAAAATATATATCCTTTTTCTAACCAGTAGAAGTGGTCGCCTTCCAGATTTATCGATCAAGATTGTACCTAGAAAGCCAAGTAATGTCTGCAAAAAAGAAAAAGCAAATCATGATTTAGTTTCTGAGACATGCATTACTCAGAAATTTGCTGCCCAAGTTGACTTAAAGGTGCAGAAAACCTGAGCAGCAGCCAACGCAATGAGTCCAATTGTGCTGGATATACCTGTCAATAGTCAGAGACTAGAACTTGTTATGGTTAAATTTTCGCAAGTGTTCTTGAAGTTGTATGAAGATTGTTAAGACCGGTGATTTACCAGCTGAGACAAAAATAACACCAGAATAATATGCAAATGCATTGACTCCTCCCAAACTCAACAGAGCCATCATGCCGGCTACAACCTACAAGGAATGCAAGAGATTCTCAATGGAAATAATAACACAGATAGAGCAAATGGTGAATTTCAACCTAGTTACATGTCTTACAAGCAAGGGTTGGACATACTTCTTCTGAAAAACATCTAAAATTCCTTCCTTCGAGATACTTTTAAGAGAGTCCACATAATCCTATTTATCACATCAATGGAAAATAAGCAACAGATAAAATAAACTGTAATTTTTGAAAAAAAAAAAAGAAGGGAGGGGGGGAGGGTTTACTTTGATGTCAGTTGCTTCATCAGAAATATAGGCTTTCTCTCCCCTGAGGCACAACAGAGTAGATTCAAGCTCTTTGTCATGACCAACGTTTGCCTGCAGAGATATATTCTCAGTATCTGAAGACCAAAGTGGAGATTAATAACAGAATCTCAAATTGGACTCACCAGCCATCGAGGAGATTCTGGAATGAAGAAGAGGAGTGGGAGTTGGAGTATACCAGGAATGATGGCTGTAATGTAAACATCATTCCAGAACTGTTACAACCTTCAGATTGCACAACCAATTTTCTGTGCATGAGAGGAAATAGAAGTTACCTATTAGAGCCAAGGTGCGCCAACTGACAAAGGAACCGACCACATACATGGATGACATGCCCCAACAAACCATCAACTGCAGATATAAATAGGGTAAGAACCATGAGGCAGAAAGTGCATTGCAGCCTATTTTTGATTAATGGTAAAGTTTACCGGTACTATGGCTGTAAATCTTCCCCTGAGGTTCTTGGGTGTTATCTCTGCAATGTAGATGGGCACCTATTTTGGATTGAAATGCTAATACTATCATCCATCTTCAGACATTCAAGAAGACATGGCTGAAATTGTATAAAGAAAAACTTCACAAAAGTTACCAGATAACCGGAAATTCCATTTGTGAATCCCAGTGATAGTCTTCCCAGATCAAGCAGCCAAGGAACCTTTTGAAAACACATGATAATTTTCGTGTGAATCATGAACTTGAAGCAAGAAATGAAAAAACTGAAAATAACAGCTTAAACAATATTGAACATCCTCTGGTTATTCCAGCCTAGAAAATCAAACTTTTTCTGATACCTTTGCCTATCACGTTACACAGTCTATTTCCAGTAGCCTAGTGAAAGTTTGGATCCATCTTGGTAAGTAAATCAAACATGTCAAAAAAGAAACCTTATGAGAGAATGAGCAGAAGAGCTGAAACCTTTGAAAATGCTATGGCAAGCCACCCGCTGATGTAGAATATATTCAGAATCCACATGGTCTGATTCAAGACATGGGGTTAGACAGTTTGTAGAGTTCTAGCAATTTATATTCAACAGTTTGGCTTAAAGATTCCTAGCAAAGCTTACCAATTTGCGACCAAGCAAATCTGTAATCTTCCCACTTATTACTGCACCTAGAATTGCTCCAATACTAAGTATTGAACCAAAAAGTGAAAACTGCAAAACGGAGTATTGACTGTGAAATCAGAAACGCTTGAAGGACTACTAATTGCAATTAAATTCACAAAGCAGAACATTCCATGTAAATTTGTTGCTTCATAGATCCTCTCAGTAACCAAAAGAGGCCTTCTTGAGTTGAAACTATGCCACTGTTAATGAGGTTCAAAAGATTTACAGAAAAGAAGGCAGGAAAACCACATTGAAGCAAGGATTCACACAAAGTAGATTCATATGCCAAAGTTTCAATAAATTAAGAAGAGGGGCAATTGGCTTGTTTAGTTCTGCAGTAGCCTTTTTGACTTGCTAACTTGGAGGGAGACGATGCCTCTGAACCAGATACTCTATGTTCAGAATTTTAAACAGCAATGCCTATGTTTCACAATTTTTCCAGGTGAAAACTTTCACTAATCAGATTCTGAAGCCTTAACATCAATACCCCTACTAGTATTTAGCATTTTTCCAGGCAAGCAATGAAAATTGTCCGTCAGCAAAGCAGATAAAAATCTAAATATGGTTAGTGGTTACGTCCGCCATGGAAAGTCCCAAATCTTCCATGATTGAGGACTGAGTAGGTGATGAATATCCTAGCTGCAAAGCAAACCAAAGAAACAAGTTCAGCCTTGCAAGAGTCACAGAAACTTTTAACTGGTTAACCTTCAATGAAAACGGCACTTACAGCACATCCAAAACCAAAGGCAATGCAAGCTGCCACAAAGGTGCTAAGAGCAAGTATGGTGGTGACACTGGAAGCAGCCACCAACCCTCCACCCCCAACACCAACGCCACCATTTTCTTCACCGTGAGCAAGGTCGCCATGTCCATGTCTGACAAGTAAAGACTCAGTTACTTCTCTGCTTTGCTGCCCCATAGCTCGTTTCTCTGAATCAAAACAGAAGTTTTTGTTTACATTTAGTAAAATTTTTGACAGATTTTTTCTCTGGCGCTCCACCAGCTGATAATTTATTAATGTAATAGAAATAATTTAATACCTATGGCCAGGCCAACTGCTCTAAAATGTAGATCTCCTATCCATTAAATTATTGGCAGAACATCGTTTTGGATCCACAAAAACGTTTCAGGATGGGACCGTCAATCATTGCATGCTGAAAATAAAATTAAACCACGAGGGATTTTCTTGCATACTTCAATGCGAATTAGATACTCATTGGTCCTTTCATCTGTATGCATGTAATAAAAGGAAAAGATTAGGCCTCAATTAATACTAAAATTAATGTTGAACAAAGGGCTAGGTAGGTTGTCTGCTTTCCATTTCTATCAACCATAGAAGTGTATAAAGCAAAGCCTTGCATATTTTTTGGGTACATTGTGTGGATGGCAGAGGTAAATTTCTGTGTCTTTGCCCAAGGGAAACAGCTGTTTATTAATAGAAAAGGAAAATGGACATCTTCCTCTGTTGCTTGACTTGATATTGACAAACTTCAATTTTCTTTTCCTGGAAAATTTCAGAAATGCAACCATGAAATGAAGTCACCTCCTTTCTAGAAGTTCACATTGATGGCAGAAATGCATATAGAATGTTTTATCTTATTTGGATATGCAATACCATTAAAAAATAGTAAGTTCAAGAAATTTCCAGGGAACTAATTGCTGTGGTCCATGATCTATTGAATTATGTTACATGTTACTTTATATATATATATATATATATACACATTTGATGATACTTTATATATATATATGATGAGTCACATTGTATGTACTATGCTTATATAATTTTTTTATCACCAAGATTTAACAGATTTATTATTTTGAAATTACGAATTTGAATCTCGAAATGAAAAGACATGTGAAACAAAATTAATGAACAAAACTTGTATTTCTTTCTATGTTTGTCCTTGAATCTCTGGTATTAGGATTTGCAATGAACACACTTCTGGTACCACCAATGGAGGCAAAAATGAAGAATGATCCTAGAGTAATAAAATAAGCCAAATCAAGACTTAAGAGGATCATGTATGAGAACCCAGAATCAACATTGCAACATAGAGAAGAGAAGAGAGAGAGAGTTGAGTAGAAATTGGTAATAAGGACATTAATGAATTCTCTTAATTGCCCTATCCTATCTAACTATGTCTATAATTATTCATAAAAATAATTAATTCTTAATAGCATCCATTACTTTATTTTTGTTTGGTACAGTGGAGTGAGGGGATTTGAGACTTTGGACCTATAATTTCTAATTAAGAAAGTGATAACGTATCCATAGTTTTTAATTAGTAAAAATATCATGAGTATGCATTGTGATATAATATTAATTAAAGTATTAATAACAAGCTTTTAAGTATTAATTAAATATGCATATGTGTATACAGAATATAAAACATGCAAAATTGATCAAATTTTTATCTTGCTAAAACTTCATATTGATCCTCAGGAAAAGACAATCTGTAACTAAGTTCTACTTTCTAATCAAAATTCTTGACATTATACAGACTATTTTCCTGAAGTCAGAAGGTATCATCAGGATTTTTCCTGTTCTCTAATCTATGGAAGCCTGAATCTCTTCCAAGGTACGGCCCTTTGTCTCAGGTACAAACTTGAAGATGAACACAATAGCTACTGCACAGAATGTGGCGAACACGAAAAATGCACCTGGAAGGGAAAAAGAAACAAGATTCAGTTGGATTTGATCTTCAGAGGTTCATATGTGGCCTAATCTTGGAAAGATACGAAAAAAGGGAAGAACCCAAGAAAGTTGTTTGGAGACATTGTAAACTGTTAAAGAACACAATCCAGGTTCAAGTTTTAACCAGCTTGCAGCAATGGAGGACTTACCATGTGAACTCCAGCTCATGAGAAAGTTAAAGCTGTAGGAAACAACCCATGAACCGCCCCAGCTCACCAATGTTACAAGGCTTCCTGCAATGCCTTTGATGTGGATAGGGAATATCTGGACCAGAACAAAAAATTTCCATCAGGCCACAATCAAATCTATATTTTCTCAGTTTGTTTCTGTTTTCACAGTAAGTGCAAGCTAATCAAAAATCCAAATTGTACCTCAGACATTACAATCCAAGGAATTCCGCCCAATCCAAAACAATATGAGCCCATGTCAACCTGAAAATTTGGCAAAGAAAAGGTAAGCAAAGTAAACCTTCCAACTTTTTGACAGTATGCAGTGTTTCTTCCAGATAGAACAGATAATCTAGAGATGGTTTCAAATGGAATTTAGTGATGTCTCTGAATTCTGGTGTTTGTTAAAAGAGTATGTACTCTTTTCTTTGCTTCAGGTTCCAGAACTCTGTTGCAGCCTAGGATATACTCTGCCAAAAACAATTGAACTAGTTCAGGAATGTTGTCAGGTTACCATGATGGCAGTTATTGTGAGGACTGGAGCGAGATCAGAAGCCATGTGATGTTCCTGTTGAAGAAAATACAATGTGTTTAGAGATAACAAGCTGATCAAACAAATAGTATTGCATAAAATCTTATAAGTTTGATAATTACCTTCAAATAGAAGGAAGCACCAGTAAGTAGACTGCCAAGGAGCATTCCACTTGCAGAAATCTAAGAAAGAAATAAACATTTTGATATGATATGAGAATTCTTAAACTATCTTGTAATTTATCTTATGAAAAAATTTGATAATGGATGTTCTTATCTGGTGCCTACCATCAGAAGAGGCCTTCTCCCAGCGTTATCGATTATGACAACACCAAATGCTAGAATAATTATCTGAAGGGAAACAACAATGTTTGTTGATAATTGATCAAAAGAAGAAAAACCAGAGAGAAAGAGAGTAAAAGATGAAAACCTGCAGACAAGCATAGAGTATGCTTCCAACATTTGGGGGAACTCCTGAAATAAAAAATTAACACGTCAAACTGGCAGAAAAAAAAACTAATAAAAGACTCAAAATGTATGATAAATTTGGGGTTTACCTGCAGAGGTAAAAATTTGGTCAGCATAGTAAACAATTCCATTGTACCCAGAAAATTGTTGGAAAACCATCAGTCCAACACCAATCTGCTTATCATTCGATGAGGATACAAGTAAGAAGGAAAATAGATTAACAGAAGTGAAACAATGATTCATAGTGGGAAATTATCTCAAGGAGAGAATGATACTTACAATGACCAAACGTACGTTTCTTTCGAGAAACAAATCCTTTGCAGTGGCTTTTGGAAGACGTTGAAGAATTGCCAAAGAATCCTATGAAGTGAAAACAAAATTTACCTTCAAATTAATCCCCAAAAAAAGGGTAAATCTGTGCAAGATAAGGATGTAAAAAGGAAAATGCAATGAAGTAAATACTTGAATTTCAGCCTCTTCTCCTGAAACATCAGCATTATGTCCACGAAGCTTCTGAAGTGCAACATGGAACTCATTCTGGTAGCCAACCATTGCCTGTTGCACAGAACATACTTACTTTACCCGATACTTTTGATCTTCCTAGCTTCATGTGGAACTCCAATTGATGATCTTTGTACTGAATTTTAACCATAGCTTGAAACCTCTAGTTTTGGAATTTATCATCCTTTAAGTAATTACAAAAGCTTCTCTCATCAGTTATTTCTGAAACTTGTAGTATGAGGAGAATACTTATGATGATTTTGAAGCCATGAACTTCTGAATAGAAAAGAATGTTCAAAATTCTGAAGTTATATCATTTATTAAGAAATGATCTTACCAGCCATCGCGGGGACTCTGGGATGAAATAAAGCCCGATAATCATAACTGCACATGGGATCATTCCTGCAACCAAGAACCAACTTCAGGTAAGCTTCTTGAAATAAGTTTCAAGACTGATACACTGAACACAATAACTGATACACTGACTTACCAGTTAGAGCCATTGTTCTCCATGTAACCAATGCACCTACTGCATATGCCACCAAAAGACCAGTGGCAAGGGAAACCTGTAAAGTAGATTGAAGGTAAGCAGAGGACTAATCAGTTAAGTTATAGGCTTTATAAGTTATAAAATCATGAAGTCAAGAAAGAATGACTTCTGAAAATGCAGATGAGCATAATTCTAATCCAATGAGTTTGAATCAATCTTGTTACCTGATGTAATGTTAATAAAGCCCCCCTCAGGTGTGTTGGGGTTATCTCAGCAATGAATATTGGCACCTATGAAATCAGGGAGTTCAAGAGGATGCAATTACAAAATCTCTGTCAGCATATCAAAAAAAAATCATTACTTATCTGTTCATAAGCAAAACTTTTGAAATAAAATTGAAAGCATACCACATAGGAGTTAACACCAATGCCAAATCCTGTTAAAAATCTTCCAAAATTCAGAGTTAGAGTTCCCTGCAGAAGGAAGGAGTTCATCAGCATTTTAATGAGATAAGATTATATCAGAAATTGTTCGAGAACTGAACACAGCACAAACCAGAGCCAAGTAGATTACAAGCCATCCTGTGATGCAGATGATTGATGATATCCTCATAGTCTGACAGGAAGAGAGCAAGTTTAGGCAGAGAATTTAATGTAAATATTTGAATAGAAAGCTGCTTCATGACATGATGATATATAACAGGTTATCTCCATCTGTTCGTACCTCTATTCGGCCAATCAGATCAGCGGCACGCCCACTAGTGATTGCACCAACCATTGCACCAATAGTCAGTATGGATCCAAAGACTGAAAACTGCAATTAAAAAACATGCATTAACTTGTACTTCAATATGTTCCTCTCCACAGCCAGATAACAACAGAAAGATAAAGCGATGCATTAATTAGCTGTTCAGGTACCTCTGAAGAGGACATTTCAAGTTCCTCTATTATAGCTTGCTGTGTAGGCGAAGAGTATCCAATCTGCATAACCAAAAAATTAGTTTAGTTACAACAATAATCGGAAATCCTGTTGCTTGCACATACAGAAAATCAGACCAACACTAAGATAATAGCGAAACTTACACTTGAGCCAAACTCAAAAGAGCCCATAACTGCAACAAATGTGCTGAGAAGAACCATAAACAGACTTCCATTGCCGCGCAAATTCTGTTGTTTTTCCTCCTTTTGGATAAATGGCTGCAACAAGCTGGCACTTCCATTCTCAATGTCCTGTGAGGTGGCCATATCTTTCTTCTGTTGATATAATCACCCTGCAGCAAGCCCAAAAATGCAAACAAAGAGATGAATTAAGCAAGAAGCTGAATGAAAACCAAAGGAACACATTAAACCCCTCCTTACCTGCAATTTTCTGCTCCTTTTCTTCTCTTCTTTCCTTCCGCCTCGTGGACCCCCAAGATCAAATGTCTAAGCACTTAACCTTCAGGAAATCAAGGGGTTATACTCCTGTTTTTGGAACTCATTTATTATAGCATTTGCAT